TTTATCTTTATTATTTATTCTTTCTTTTCTTTTTTCTTTTTTCTTTTTTTCTTTTTCTTTCTTTTCTTTTCTTTTCTTTTTTTTTTTTTTTGCATTTCAGGTGCCCTGTGTTGGTGGCTCTGTTTTCTGGCTACAAGACTTTTCACTTGTTTTACAGTTATTGCCCTAATGCCCACCAACCAAGTTCTCACGTTGGCAACTGGCATCACCTGGAAAGCTGTTTTCTCATTTGTTCCTGAAATGGGCAGGTTTTCCTGGGCCAGATCTCACCTCTGGAGGTCTGGGGCTTCTTTGCATGATAAAGGACCCCCCTGGGTGGCTGACCAATCCTATGAGCTGGTGCCAGAGCAGCCAGTACCCCAAGTGCCAGTCTGTCTTGGCTCCCAGTGCCCAGTCACCTTGTAGATGCCTCTAGTGGGCATCTGTCAGGATGAGACAGACGCGCCCATTCATAGGATATTGTGTGTAGGGGGTGGGTGGGTAGGTGGCTTTTCTGGGCTTCTAAGGGGCAGAGAAACCGGGATGCCACCGGGCTTCCAGTCTTCCAGCCGCTCCAGCTTCCAACAGTGGCAGAGCTCCCATATTCCCCTTTAGGAAGAAAACGCCAAGGACAAAACAGTGTGTGGGGGCATAAGGCTGCTCTAATAAGCGGCTCCCACCCACTAACCTCTCCACTGTTCTCCTCCCACGCTGCCACCCCTCTACTGTAACAAAGGCACATCACAACACATTTTCAAAGTTATCAGAAGTCTCTTGGTCAATCAACAAACGATTCTGATGACTGAAAAGGAGGAAGAGATATATCTAGAAAACGGTGGGAAATATTCCCCGGGAACAGCACATAAAACCTTGCCCGATGCATGCAAGGCTAAGGATTGTTTTCTCCCTGCTGGCTGCTTTTCTCTCCGTTCTAAAGAGAAGCTTCTAAGAATCAGCTAAATAAAGGGATCACACCAGAGGATGAGAGATAAGGCTAAACCAACAAAAACAAAGACCCAAATGAAACAGAGCGAGCCATGAGAATCTGCGGTTATCAAAACTTTGTTTGGCCATATCTATTTATCATCGCTGCACACCCGGGCTCTGCGGAATATCATTCTGTTGATGTCACTTATCCTCAGCAAAATATTTACACATCCTTAAAAACGCCAGATGAGGGGGGCCGGCCCCGCGCACTGCCGCGAGCGGCCCCTCAAGCCCCGTCACCGAGTTCTGGCCAGACCGTGAGGTGGGGGCACGACTGTGGTGGCTCCAGCGGGTACAGGTAAGAGCTACTGACAGTTCCGGGAATGCGGCCACCCCGGCGCTGCGCCTTGCCCTGTCCACCTCTCCCATACCTGACTCTGCAAGAAGCAGCCACATCCCCGATACGCTGTCAGCGCCTCCTCCCCCTCCCCCTGCTTTTCTCATTGATTAAGTTCTCTAACCATTGTTAAAGCCGGGTTGCTTTTCCCTTGAAAACTGGGCTGAATTCATTAAGCTTCACCCCGCCACAAAAGGAATATTCATAAAAGTTTGGCAGGCAGAAAGGGAGGCTGACTGCGTGCCATGGGGTGGGTGATGATTCGCTCCTCCACAGGCACCTTCTTCTTCCGTGCCCGATCCCTCTCTCCATCTATCCGTCGTGCCCCAAACCTACTCCGGGGACTTCTGATAGGGAAACACAAAGCAGCAGCTGTTGGCAACATTTCTACCCTTCGCCGGCAACTGTGGTGGGATGCCATTTCCCCACCCAGGCGGAGCTTATCCTGAACAATAGTCGGGCTTTAAACGGCAAACAAGCAAATACACAGAGCACAACCCCAACCCCGAAAAAAGCCAGCGCGGAGAGAAGCAGTAACTCCCTCGGCAGCAAAAAGCACCGCTGAAACGCACGCAAAAATGCAGCGAGAAGGCTGCTCGGTGCCTAACATGGCAGAAAGCCCAAGCTGGTGCGGCCACCCCGGGTCTGGGCATTGCGGGGCACGAGGGCTCCCAGGCGCCGACGCTCACTCACCCGGCTCCAGGAGGATGCGGGGCTGGTCGAGCGTCACAAAGACGAGCCCAGCGCGATCTGGCAAAACCCAACTTTCCACCCGGCTCGCCAGGGCCGCCAGATACGTCAACAGAATCCATCTTTCGAAGGGCCTGGAAGGCACCGG